ATTAAATAATATAAAATTTATTTTTAATATTTTAGATAATATAAATTATGCCACATTTTTCTCATTTATCATTATTTATAAGCGTTTGTGTTTTGGATAAACACTGACAGCGCTCTGTGGCATTTCTGTCTTTTCCCTTGGAGGAAACTTCGTCTTCCCCTTACCCTTTCTTTTCGACTGGACTTAAATTGGGCTTAAAGCTCATGATGTTAATGGGCTTCTGTCCTCTTGCATCTAAGTACCTAAGCTCAATGCAAAACAAAAACAAACAAGAGGCGTTTCTTCTTCAAGATTACATAAATACAATTTTACACCTATTTATAAATTTACAATTATAAGATACTGTTATATAATTAAATTTTTTATTTAAAAATTTATTCATTATATTATATATGTTTATTCAATCAATAACATATTATAATTATAAATTTAAATTTAAAGTACTATTATAACTATAGTATATTACGATTTATAATTAAAAAGGAGTTTGAATTTTTTTTAACTCAAATTTTTGTTCTGAATAGTAAGAAATATAATAACAAAAAGATTGTTTCGAAATTTTCTTTCTTCCCTTAATAGTTTTAGGTTGATGCTCATAGCACTCAAGTCCACTTTTCTATGGTTCTATGAGATTAGGTGTCCATCGTATTCGAGTCTGCTTGCTGCTTTTCTAACAAACGTCTTAGGTAATGTTATGTTTTCAAAAGGAAGATGAAAGAAGGTACAAGTAACTAAAATTTATTAAAGGAAGTTGGTCTAAGGACAATCAACCACTTCTAACAGAAATGTGGGATTCGGGTGTAGGAATTTTTTATACGACTAAACTTGAAGTTTCACAATATTTGTACTCAAACCCTGCCTTTTCAAATACCGCCAAAGACTTCCTGCTTACTCCCCTTTTGATGCAGACAGGATTTCTACCTCGTTTCCCTCTGCGAATGGATATGCTTCTTTTCGTATACATGCTTGCGTTTGTGCCAACAAAAGTGAGTCTCCAGGGCCCTCAGCTTTAGCTCTTTGGCCTTTAGAATCCCCACGATCTAATGATTCTAACGTTAATGATTCAATTCCATTCTATATCTTCAAGATTCTAAGGAATAGGAAAAGGCAATGAGAAAAATCATGATGTTTTGATAATTAAACTGTTAAAATGACAATAATAAAAACAAAGAATTCATTAAAATAATTTTACAAGTAATCTTAACATTTAACATCATGTGATTTTCACTTTTCTTAAAAGAGAAGAGAATACAGTTTGTTCTTGATTCCTTTGCTTTTTTTCAGCACCGAAATGCCCTGACAAAGTAGTACAAGGTTCATTAGTCTTGGAGGGTTTGAAGCCATTAGTTCTATTCACTTGAAGAGGGCCTTATTTCCTACAAACGACAGAAGGGCTCTCTTTTGTGCTACAGAAAGGAGAGTGTTTGAGAAAATGCGTCTGTGAACAAAATACTTCAAAAAAAAAAAAAGAAAAAGAAAGGGATGCAGGACAGAGATATGAAACATAAACAAATTCCATACTAATCCAAATAGTTAATCATGTGAAGAATACAAATGGATGCTCTTGATGCATGTCTACTCCATAGCCAAAGGCTCTACAAAGACATCTACACTGTAAAATCCAAAACTTCTTTCAAACAACCCAAGTCACCTGCAAGAACCTGCCTAGCAGTGACAGGAGATTTCAGGATCAGTGAAGATAGGGTAATCCATTAAATAACAACACTCACAAACCAACTCATCCTCTCCACATCCTGTCCTATTATGGGTGCCAAATCTCCATTCAACTAACCACATAAAACACATTTTAAGGGTACATTTCTCTCTTGTAAACTCCAGCAACTGCAGTTTAGCATAGGGTCACTCTACAACCAAAAGGGAATAAGGGATTATTTCAGAGGTTTGACCAGTTGACCCAAACCTATCTTATAGACAGGGTATTAGTAACACAGCTATTTACAATTAGTTCATATCCACACCATGCAGCTTCTTTCAAAGGAACAGCTGATCGAATGGAAGTTCTCTAATATGCACATGAGAGAAAGGGTACCTCGGAGATGCTGGCAGTCTCCATCTTGTTTAGCCCAAAACTGAAGCTGCTCACTCCTCTAGACAGGACTCAGGAGTAAAAGTGAGATATCAACTATATATCAACAGACTGCCATTTTCTGTTCCTTCACTGTATTGTTCTCGTAAGTTTACACTTGGACATGAAGATTGTTGCCGTGTAATTCAGGCTACATAATTTCAACAACTCAGCTGACCGCTGCTTTAACACAAGATTGCAACCACTCTGTATTACTAGAAGCAGCTTTGCTGCCAGGCCTGCATCCATGGCAAGTGAAGCACATTCTTCCGGTGCGAGATTGAAAACTGCCAACAAAATCGACAGTGCTAACTGAGTGCAGTTTTCAGAGACCTTCATCAAGAGTTTCACCACATTTGGTACTGTATTTGGGCAATCTTTCAATGCCAATTTCCCCTCTGGGGCCGTTGATACAGCCTCCAACACATAAAGGGCTAATTCCAAGCACTCATTGTTCAAACTGGGCAAGAGCACAACCAGTTGAGGAACTCCCCCAACACTCACAAATGAGCTTCTAACTGATTCATGAGAACAAACTGTTTTGAGCAAACGCAAGCCAGCCAATATTCCATTCAAGTGTCTCTTATCCTTCACTAACCTCAGTAACCCAACCAACAGACTCAAGCTAGCTACTTTTTCAGCACTGAAATCGTCCCCTTCTACCAAAATTTCAATCAATTTAGAGCAGTTAATTTTGGTATCTATTGATCCCTCATTCAACATATCCACCATTAATGATATTTTAGCAGGTTGCATCAAATGGGATTTTGAACTCGAATCAAGATCCAAGTTTGACAAAATCCCAATGGCCTCAGACCCAACAGCATGTGTGGTAAAAGGACCCAACAAAGAAGAAATCAAGGCAATACCTCCATTGTTGACAACTGTCTTCTTAGCTGTTGAATGAGCATTAACAACCTGCCTTAGCTCCTTGAGGGCTTGAATTCGAGCTTGACCTTTAACCTTCTTCAAGGTCTCCAAAATCTCCTTCACCCTTCCCTGCACATCCTCTGATCTCTTCTTCGAGGCAAGATATATCTGAGAGAACCAGCTGTAAATCAGCTGCTGAAGCGTCTTGTTTGGCGTCACTGAATCATCCCAGAGCTCCTGCATTGTAGTGGGGCAAGTGCAGTGGCCTAAAGAGAACCATTTCAGAATGTTGGATCTCTCGTAGGTCTGCCCGGTAGAGAGAGTCACTGGATCTTGCATCGGCTCCAGAGAGATTGGACAAATGAAGACTGTTGGGACTTCAACGGATTCGAGCTCTTCTATCATTTGCTTCAGATCCAATTTCTCCGAAGCAAACCCTCCACCAAATCCGCCGCCAACGCCGCCCAAGATGCCATCTTTGACTGCAGTTTCCACATCCAGAACTTGCCCATCAACCTTCAAATCAGCTTCCCTTCTCCGAGTAGATGGCTGATCCACCAGCATTTTCAAATACCCTTTTGCCAATACCACACCACACAAAATGAAAATCCACCAAAGATCCTTCACTCAAGTTATTCCAAAGAAGCCAAGATAAGGAATCAAAAAGAAGTCTACAATTGAGGAAGACGCATCACCTCTCGTGAACAAGAAGCGTGCGGAAAAGAAAAAGGGCAAGGAAATTTCTCTTTCATTGACAATCACAATCAACAATGTCAATCAAAGGCAACATCTTGTCTCCATTCTTTTGCTTTACTATCCCCATCTTTATCTACTCTCTTTCTCTGGTCAAAAGTGCCATCTTTTCCCTCACTCCATTATCATCAACGACATGATGAAGATGCAATCTTTGAACTTCCCAAACACCGAAGCTCCCCACTACTCAATTCTCACTCACTTCCCATTCAAGATTCAGAAAAAAAGGTGCAATCATCACAGTCCCATATCAGCCAAGAGGGAGAATAAGTGAATAGCAATCAAAAGCCAAAGAAAGTACGAAAGAGACTCAATGACATACAGAACCCATAAGGGCCATAACCAGATAAAAGAAAAAGATTCCAGAAACAGAGATTTTGATGAAATAATGGACAATCGAAGAACCCCACCCTGAAGCAGAATGATTGTGGAGAAGAAAGTGGGAGGGAAGCAGGAAAAAAGAGCTATCTTCTGCTGAGTCTCTGCAGAGTCTCCTCCACAGCTCTTCTTTTGGTGCAACTTGTGGAATTATGAGACCGCAAAAAAACATAACATTTTTTAAAAAATTTCTTGAATTACAGAAGACCGGCTATAGCCAGTGTATTCAACCTTGGGAGACCGTGTTCCACACGTGCAGTCAGATCTTAGTCACCTATTTATCCAGTTTTGTGTGTTTTTTAAGCAAAGTTTCTAGGTAAAATCAGCAGTAAAAGTGTTTTCTAATTTGAACACAAAGTTTAATTTAGATTTTCTAGGATTTTTCTTTTTGGTCCATAGATAAATGGATTATCTTGACTCAAGGACGCACCCTCTGCCAAATAGTCAATAAAGGCAAAATGACGTTTGAAGATGCAATAATTAGAGAAAGAGAAGAATGGGAAAATTCAGAAACAGCAAGGATTGCGTCTCACTCTCACTTCTCCCCTTTATTTTTTTTTTAAAGGTATTTTTAATTTATATTTTTAAGATATAAATTAAAAAAATAATTAATATATTTTTATAATTAAATTAAAAAAAAAACAAAATTTGATTTTAATTTTAAAAATAAATCGATTAAATTAAAACATATGGTATTAATATTAAAATTAATATTAATTTTTTATTGTTTATGAATTAATAATTAAAAAATATATTAATTATATCTGCTTTAAAAAATCCATAAGAAAAATAGTAAAATTGGTATCCTTCTCTGAAC